CATAAAAATTCAAAAACTAAAAACGCACTAATCCCGCGAAATGAAATTCAGTATAGCCATATATAGGTTATATAATATCTATTCAATAAGACATGAAACAGATCTGTGACTAAACGATAATTGCTTAAAGCTGATATTATCTACYACAAGCAAAAAAATTCTAAGTACAGCATTGAAATCCCAACAATCTAGCCTGATGACGAAATTCCTAATGATTACATTTTGTAATTTTTTATTTGATGACTATTATTATACTCGTGATTGTATACGTTCGCAGACGACAAATATGGGAATGCACAACAACACGTGCGGTGGCGGTGCGGTCAATGGCGGTGTTGGCGTCAGCGGAGGTGGTGACATGATGTCGTACGCTACACACACACCGGCTACAGCCGACGATTATTACGGTAGTGCCAGTGGATTGGTGGCCGACTACGACTTGCCGCAGTGCCTTGGTGGCCGGCCACCATTGGAACCGGCGTACGCGGCCGAGTGTGGCGTTTACTACGAGAAGAACGCGTCGGCAGCCGATTACCGGTCGTATTATGGAGGAGGCGGTGGCGGTGATGGTCAAACTTACGATCAACTGGCGGTAGATGTTGGCGGTGGAAGTTACCATGGTCATCATCAACACCACCATCATCACCACCAGCACCACCACCAACACGGCCATCACCAACACCCGCTGCAGTCGGCTGAAGCCGCCGTCATWATCACGTCTTCRGACGGTCTGAGTTACACAAACTTGGACTGTAATGGAATCTCAGCCGCAGTTCACGGCCAAGACTACGGGGCGTATTCAGACGACGGTGGTGGCGGTTACAATGGTTACAGTGGCCATCATCGAGACGATAACGCTATCCGTAATGAGTCGTATTGTGGTGGCGGTGGTGCGTCTGTAGACAATGCGTTCTTCAATATGCACTTGAACCACAACAACGAACACTCGGCCACCGGAAGACAGGCCGTACAGCAGCCGCGACCACCGTCCACGCAACCTCCACCACCACCGGTTCAGACGTCCGCACAGACCACGGCCACCGTAGCTGCGGCCCCGCTCCAGTTGCAGCCCACCTCGACATCTGGTGATGATCGGTGTCCACGCGTCATCAAGCAAGAGACGTCCTCCGGAGGCCAGTGTTACAGCGGCCGAGACGGTACGTCGCCATATAGTGACGACACATCTACGTACCGCACCTMGTTGATCGCTAGTCAACCGCAGCAACACGTACAACAGCAGCAGCAACATCACCATCACCTCCATCACCAACAGCAGCAACAGCAGCAACACCACCACCACCACCACCATCATCAACCACAACAGCAGCAGCAGCAGCAACATTGCGGTCGGCAAAATATTGGTGCCCAGCAAAAGCACGGAGCTGCCGCTGTCGCAGCCTCATCGACGGTGCCCACTTACAAGTGGATGCAAGTCAAACGAAATGTTCCTAAACCAGCTGGTAAGTGTTTTTTGTTAAAAATATAATGAATATTATAGTATGTAGTACATTAAAACTTGATAAGACGGAATTTCTGTAAGACGGAAACCCCGATAATATGAACAATTTCTCTAGTCTCGATTCAAATAGGTACATAATGAATGTGAACCGGAAACTCCTTTAAAACGGAAAATTTKACGGTCCTAAGCGATTCCATCTTAGTGAGGTTTTACTGTATATAAACTTACCATAACAAAAATGCTTGATAACTTATTAAAATTTCGGTGATTTTTAATCTGTTCAGCCTACTGGCAGAATACGTAACAATTTAGGTGGGTGACAAGCTCCATAATAAAATACACGGAGAGGCTCCGTATAGATATTTGCTCAGTATTTAACGTTAAATTTACCACTGCAGGTTGTAACGATACAACTGAGATACGCGTAATAATCACCTAACACGTTAAGATCCTTCAATAATAGTTATAAATATTATTATAGCTATTTATAACGGCGTGAGTCCTAAATTATACAATGAACGGTGGGTGCTGGATTTAATATATTAAAGCAGTATACRATATGTATGCAAAATATAAATTWAAAAAAAAATAATAATAGACAAAATAGTTGATTATATGACTTTTTTAACATTTTAAGATAAATAGTGAATGCATAGATTTATGTGCAGAATCTAAATAATTTAACCAAAAAAGGTTAAAATGAATAATAATCTGTCAACTTTAGAAATTCTTAATAGAGAAACTCTAAAAGAACTTAATAGAATATTTTATTAATATATTATAAAATTATCCCACAGTAAGTTTGAAGTATAAGTTTAAATTTTAAACAAATTATCTTCATGTATATTTCAGTTTATTTAAAAAAAATTAATGGTTTTATGGTGTTTTTTCATCTCAACATTTCTGATAAGTCGTATACAAATCCTCTTCACCCAAAGATCTGATCATCGTGTAAAAAAATAAAAACTGAAAATTATGCGATTATAATAATACATATGCAATGCAATCATCTTCAATTTTGGTTAAAAAAACATTAAGAGTTAAACTTAACTGATTCTGTGGATAAAAAGAAGGTGGTCGCAATGCATATAGCTTATACGTAGGGACTATCTTTAATCTTCATTATAGTGGTATTTTATGCTCTTATCCCCTAGACGCACGCTGTAGCCTATTATAACAATATACATAATACATATAGYATATATGTATAACCTACATAATATGTGTTGTGTATATTATATATCTCTATACACATAGGGTCAGGCTTTACGCAATCAAATATCCATTTCACGGTAAAATACTCATCGGCAGCTAAACACATACAAAACGGTCGCTCGTGTAATTCGATACGCGTATATAATATTATGTCTCGTACTCTCGTGCATAAACTAGGTATCTGGTATACMCGTACACGTATTTCGTATTTCTCTTAATATAATATATATAATATCATAGACATCAATACAATTTTACTATTTATAAAACGCATTAAGCGATGACCACCCCTACTGCTATCCAACATATATTATATTATTATTACCATCATACGTCGCTGCTGTTATTGCGGTTGACGCGTACATGTACGTATAGYATACTATTAATGCTCACAGTCCGATAAATGGACGKTATGGATGTACCCCATTTATCGTACCGATATGATATTGTACATATCACACTATTACATATTATAGTATGTAGGACGAATCATATGGATCTATTAATTTACAACTGCGAATTACGATATGACGGAGGTGCAGTGATGACATCGTCATTTACTTTACATACATAGGAAATCCTCACGGACCACTTGGTGTTTCAAACAGTACTATGCGTCTATGCTGAATACAGTACACCATATTAACTACGTATAAAATATCTTGAATACAGAGTGATACACATTGGGTTTGGTTTTTTTTGGGTTAAGTCTTATTAATACATAAATTATTTATTATTATTTACATCACACGGTGACTTGAATATAGTATACCATAGTCAATAAGTATCTACTATCTCTATMAGAATAAATACATTTGGCTATCATAACACACATAGCACATAAGCAATGTCGTGATAATTTATGATCTTTTAGCGTTATCTCGGAGTAGCAGATTTTAATAAATGTATTTTTTGGGCAAAGTACGTTTGGCCTAGAAGAAAAAAAATCATACTAAAAAAAATAAAAATAGCAAATCTCGCATCGTTTACATTAATTTTTATACACGAAAATTATCAATTTTTTTTATAAAATCACAAATTTACTATAATTAATTTTATTTATAGTTTACTATAATATAGGTACATATAACTAAACATGAATTAAATAATATTATTTTGTTTTTTCAATGAAAAACGTGTTATATATTATGGACACTACTCGTATTTAAGAATTTGATATAAATACACTTTATTCYTTCACTTATTAACGTGGGAACCTCTTTCATTAACCCTATCCTGTATATGATGTATAATATGAAGCCATGATGGACGATTGTATTATCGTCGTAATTTCGGAAATTAGGTTAGAAGTACTATGGGGCGATTCGAATAATTGAGATATTATAAAGGTCCATTATATATCATCATAATATTGTTGACTCACACCATTTTTTCAAAAAACACGTTTCCAATTACATTTCATAACCGTATATTTTAATATTATTATAATTTACGGGCTATAGCCTATGATCAGTGATACAGAGTAGGAGTGTAGCAAAAATTGGGATAATTTCGTTGTAATCGAATTTAATTCTACATTTTTCTAACATGAAATATAGTTGCGATCAYCCAATACACGTGGTATATATGTGTGTGTGTGACTAATGTAATAAAACATAATATACGGAAACRTATAACAAATAATAATGCGTTATGAAAATATTTTCGATACCCACGGGTTGCCGTACATTATATTATAATAATAAATATATATATACACCTCTACCTTTGTGGCTTTGTAGTGCTGTAGGAAAAGAATGTCGCACCACGTGACACGTCCGCTGCTATATTATATTTATATATTATTATTATTACTATATATATACAATGCATATATATATAGCTGTAATAGGCCACTAAGAGGCCGCTTGCGCGAGTCGGGTCGCGGTGGAGAGCTCGAGCCCGTTCTCGGCGGGACATTCTCGCAGATATATAATATAATAATATTGTTATTATCATTGTATAAACGATTTTTTCCCCAGCGTTCTCATCATCGTTATCCTCCTCCTCCACCACTTGTCACGCGTTATTCCTCTGGCATACCTTCCGCAGCGTAAGACATGTATATACAATATATATATATAGACACACGCCTATATTATGATGTGTCTACTGCAGGGCGCAGGCAGTGGTAGTGACTATTTATATGACGTGAGCCGATTTTCACAATGAAATGGCGTAATTTTTCTACGTTTCACATATTATTTTTATCACGACGAACACGATATAAATTATCTTAGTCCGCTGTCAAAACAATTTGATTTAATTTCTTACGTCAATATAGATAATTTATGGGTGGGTGCGCAATATACATTGGTTGTACATAATATTACATACTATTATACAGAGCTTAAGCGAGAATAATATATTCATATTATTATAAATTATATACCTATTTATTATACACACATATATATACATACTATACAGTGTTATATTGTAAGTTCCATCCTACTACCAGTACTACCTAACGTCTATAAAATATAACACAGTTTTGACGGTCTGTATAAGAATGAAAAACGTACAGTACGCTMTCAGTGCCTACAACCTATACCTATATGGCTATATAATACAATAATCTTTTAATATTATGTCTTATAATTCATGATATACTATTTACTGGACTCCAGTGACTGGATTATGATATATATAAATGTCATGCAATTTTAAGTTTTACGTCCTTCCAAACCGTTATAAAATAATCATTAAAGATAATCTCAATATTAAGTAGGTATACGTAGATATAGATATAAGATATAATCATTATAATTTATAAAATTATAACCCATAGTCATATTGTTCAATGGCATTCATAGGTTTTTTAATTTATAATAAATACTTTTTGTATTATATTAAGCAAAAAGTATCGTCTGTTATTGAAAGAAACTATTATAATATTATTATCACTTTCATTTTATTTGACACAAAATATATATTCGTTTCGCTTTTAATACATCAATATATTTAAAATTTAAATCAAAGTGATGGAAAATGTTTAGTTGTTTAGTAGATAGGTAACATAAAAATAAACTTAAAATAAGTATAAACAAGACAATAAATAATTTCATCACTGTATAATGAATCATTATTAATGATAATGATATAACGAAGTGTTCCTAGGACTATAATACTATAACATATTTTACATTTTAGGTACACCTATATATTATAGGCTATTATTATATTATAGTAACTATATAAATTATATTGTATAAAATACTATAAATGTGGTTAATGCAGTTAAAAATGTATTTATTAACAAATTGTTGAAAACCTATAGTGTATTMAAATGTTATATTTTATCATTTTAATATAAAATCTAACAGAAAATAATTTGTTTTTAATACAAATAATTAGCTTGATTTTAGCGTACCTACCTTTGCTTTTAATAATTGTATATAATTAACAGGGTTGAAAACTCATAAGAAGTTGTTTAAAAATTGTGGGGCTGTTTTGTGTTGAAAAAAAAACTCGTGAACCATAATACAAAGTACACGGAGTATTATTCGAATGGAACATTAAATAATAATTATACGTGTTTTAATTAGAAACACCGCACTGTAACAATGACGTCCGCCGATTGTCCGTGTCGTAAATGGAAAAAAAAAATTAACCGTGAACACCACACGCCATATTATATGGTGCATTTTAATAATATATAAACATATAACTACATGGCCAGTGGCCACTTTTGGTTTTTCACTCGAAAATTCAAACGCAACGTTTTTAATTTTTATTTTCACCCTTGTGTACTGATTACTNATTTTTAATATTTTAAGTTATGTC